GAGGAAGGTGCCCTGTGCCACCTCAGGCGTGTCCCCATGCAGGGTGTGAAAGCCCTTTCCCAGCCACTGCCACAAACATAAACCTCACCAGGGACCCTCCCCTACACCCTGCCCAGCCACTAGGCCACCGGAACACACCTCATCGCACCTTGGGCTTACAGGCAAGAAGATACATGTGGCATGGAATTTGTGCAGGGGAGGCGAATCTCAAATAGAAGTCTGAGCACTGCTGTGGGTCTGTGTGTCTAGAATTGGGGTATGATGAGGTAACTTTTAGGCCCTTATATTCTCTCCTGTCCCCATGACTGTCCTGATCCTCTGGCTGCACAGGATCTGGGACCCCTAAAGCCTTGGGGGCCAGACCCTGCTGACACCAGGGCACAGGGGAATGGGAGTGGACTGTTAAGTGGCCCTCCTGGTTTTCTTCTCAAACAGAGCTCATGGAAGGAATGGGGGTGAGTGGGTGGGAGGGATGGCAAAGGAATATGCCCAGAAGAGTTCTAGGCCTTTGAGGGACAGGAGTCAAGGTCCCATAGCCCTCAAGCTTGGAGTCTAGATCTCCAGGGTCCATCTTCTTTGTGTTCCTAGAAAGCCAAGTGGTCCTGGTGAACAGGGAGTCTTTAGGAACAGCCATGTGGGAGCATTCCAAGAGCTTGGGGGTGGAGGTGGAAATGGGAGATACCTCCAGCTGCTCCCTCACACCCTAGTCAGCCCTGGGGAGAGCTCTGGGAAGCACCCTGAGCAGCTACAGGGGCAGTTCAGCCATATAACCAGCAGGGGGCAACAGCGTTCACCTCTCATGTGAATGAATCCTGCATCTGAGTGAGTGATGGAGGCACTGATGACAGGGGTGGCCACATATGACCGGTGGGAGCAATGGTTGAATGGCTAAACTGAGAAAAGAGAAGGGCAGGGATCCCCTGAAGTCATCCAGTGGGTCTAGTACCAATCCAGGAGGGCCTTATCCCAGTGGAGCCCTGAGGCATTGTCCCAACCCCAGCACCACACCTTGTTCACTCAAACCCTGGGTAGAGGAAAAGGTCGTGAAACCCTTCAAATTGAGCCCCAGAGTTCCTGTTCAATTCTAGACAGCTATCGTCCAATGATCTCCAAACCAGGCCCAAATACTGTCCCAACCACACCGCCAATCCTGGCCCTGAGAATGGGCCCCAAGACACAGGGCCCTGAGGGATACTTGGGCCAAGCTGTGGCTGAACAGTCCCTTGTCCTGAGAGAGGGTCTAAGGATTGGGGCGTCCTCTGGTATCCTTCCATTATCTCCCAGAATACAAGGTCCTCTGCAGAAAGCCCTCCCAAAAGTCAGGGGAAAACTCCTCTTGGCAGAATATATGGCAGTGTGGTCCAACCTCCAGCTTACAACCTACCATGCCAGAGACCAGAGAGATGGCAAGATTCTCCTGCCTACCACCATGAGAGACAGAAGGATTCAGAAGGAAAATATTCACTGGTTTTACAGCAAGTATGGGGTCTTAAATCCAGAAAGGGAAAAGTATTCTGGACATAGAAGAATAGGTCTAGCTGGTTAGGAGACATATGGCTCATCCATAGGGTTCTAGAGTATGGGAAATCATCTAGAAGCAGGAGTATAGAGGGCATACTCGGAAGTTAAGTGACAAACACAATGTTTTCATTTCATTAATTTACTTAGGTCTTAAGAATTTTTGGTAGAGGGATAAGCTAATGTTTTATTTATTGCAGATATTTCTGACACATCCTCAGAAATTCAATAAGAAAAACAACAACTCATAAGAAATATTCTCAAAAGAAAAGCAATAAGCATATTTTAGGTACTCACTAACATTTTAAGTATTTAACATCCTCCTAAGATTACAGAAATAGATTCCCCCCCACCGATATTTTTCCAGTTTTTATATTTATACTAGATCTCTCATGTAAGTACCTGGGTTTTTAACGGTTACACTCACAGGAGCAGAGTTTGATCTAGAAGGCCTAGAACCTCAAGACAACTAACATGGTCGAGTTTGATTGTTTAACATACTGACAACACCTACAAACTACCAGTCTGTTTTATTGTGGTGATTTGTGTTGCCATGATACTGAGATCTATGTCACCTGTAGAACAAATGATCAGCAGTGTCACCATGATGGGCGGGTTTCAGCAACCCAGCAACTAAGACCAGAAAGAAAAGTCTGGAGATGTTCAAACAACTAATGAAAGCCTATAGATTATAGAAGAATGTTGCCTGGTAACACTCCTGGAAGATGAGATCCCAATGTTAGAAGACACTCAAAACAGGTAGTGGCTATGATTAGGGATCTCTGGTGCCACAGACCATAGGACGTAAGGCTGCACCTCTCTGGTGCTTCAAATCCACCAGCAGCTCCTCAGGAGAAAAATGGACAGTCTCTTCCCATGTGAACACTTCTATTGGAAACTCAGTGGAGGGTGTGAGCTATGAGTTGGATCCAATTCAAAGGCAATGAGACAGTTATGACTCGAGCATACGAGCTATTGTGAAGAAGTAGCAGGATGGGGCAATATTCCGTTGTACTCGGGGTTTGCCATGAGTTAATACCAACTTGAGGGCCACTTAAAACGGAATATCTGCTATGGTAGTTACCACCGGAGCTCTCAAAAAGGACAGCTCAAAGTTCTGATGGGAGGGTACTGTGTCATAGAGGAGACAGTCAAGAATATAGATAGTACAAGGGAGCTCTCTAGGGGCCTATTGGCAAGAAGCTGCGCTGCAATCCCAAAAGCACAAGGTTCAAATCCACCAGATGCTGTGCTGGAGAAGAAGGGGCAAGACAACCCAGTATAATGAGTAGTTTAGTGTGAAAGAGTCAGTTAAAGGATTGAAAGATGTTTAGAGGTAGGAGATGATGACTTCGCAGGGCCTATATTTCCTAGTAAGACAAAGACCGTGAACTGGGGCTTCTTCCTCAGCAAAAGCCTGCGGGAGGTTAATGGGCTTGTGTGGAAAGCCAAATTTGATACTAAATATTTATAATAAACCAAATGCTGTATCAGGATATGAGGGAGGCATGTATAAAAACTGGAATTCACTCTGAAGCACTAAGGCAAACGTTAAATGTTTACAGGGGTAGGCACTAAGGCATTTACAGGATTCTTAAGCATTGACACAATTCTTGTATTTGCTAACCCCTCCCTCCTAAGTCAAGCATAAGGTTTTCAACAGAAAGAACTTAGCTTCATTTGCATAGAATTCTCTTTGTGATTTGCTCCCTGGCAATTTTCAATAAAAGCACAAGGAAGCAGAGATCAACTTCTTCAGTTGTTGAGAACTGTTCAGTGTTTGCTTCCTGCTTTTACCTCTTTTTACTTATACATTCTTGGTGTTCTGTCTCATTATTAATACTTATTAATATACTTTTACTTAGCCTCGGTCTACAACATTCTGGTGCCCAAACAGGGATGAGGTGGAGGTGGGGGTGTGTATGTGTCTCTCTCTCTCAGGCAGACATCAGGGAACTGAAAGGGAATTCACTCAGGGTAAGTGAAACTTTTGGGAAAATTAAAGGCAGGATCATTTAGAAATCCTTAAACCCTGAATTTTGCTAGAAATTTAGGGGTAGAAGTAGAAAAGATTTTATGAGGGTTTTTCTTCTCCCCTTGATGGAGAAATTCAAGGGGGGAAGTAGAAAAAAATTTCATGAGGATTCCCTCCCCTCATGAAGGAGAAATTCATGGGGAAAGTGGGGGAGGGGGGAAATCATAGGGACTTTTTCCACCTTCTGAAGTAAACAAATTAAAAACTCAGAGATAGAATTGATAAAAAGGAGTCATGGGGAACAGCCCATCCTCTGAAGCTCAGTTTATTACTTGAAGAATTAACTTAAGAGCTCAGGGCTCAAGAAACAAATGCTGGTGAGGTTGTGGAGAAACTGGAACCCTTATTCACTGTTGGTGGGTGTGTAAAATGGTACAACCCTGTGGAAGGTGGTATGGCGCTTTCTCAAAAAGTTGCAAATAGAGATTCCATTTGATCCAGCAATTCCACTACTGGGAATATACCCCAAGGAGACCATAACTGACACCCAAGCAGATATATGCACACCCATGTTTATCGCAGCTTTGTTCACAATAGCAAGGAGTTGGAAACAACCTAAGTGCCCATCAACAAATGAATGGGATAGAGAAGCTGTGGTATATTCACAGAATGGAATACTATGCTGCATTGAAAAACAAGGAACTCATGGAATATTATTCAAAATTAGTAACCCTGGAGGACATTATGCTGAGTGAAATATGTCAGTCACAAAAGGTCAAATACTGCATGGTGCCACTGTTATAAAACAGGACTGACATCGGGGTTGGGAGCAGACTGAGAAAGATGGAATAATGTATACTGCATTGAAACAGATAAGGGAGAAAACTATTTAAAAGGGATATGTGATTAGGTATTTTTGTCATGACAGAAGTCCAGAGCCAAGGCTGCATAGTGGAGTGGGCCTGGGGGGGGAGGGATTGTAAAACAATGAAAGAATTTTTTTCTTTTACTTTTC